GGGTCTGGTGGAAGGAAGGGGCTGCCCCACACCCAGGCTGAAAGGTAAGTCCTCATCTGGGCAGACCAACTGGCGGAATCTCTGAAAGACAAAGTTGGATGTTGAACAAGGGTGTAGGGACAGATCCAGCTCACCCACAGCCTCCTCCGCCCAACTGCACCCCCACCAAACAGCCCCTTTCTAAGTAGCCTTCCAGCAAGGGCTGCACGGAGGGGTGAGGCAGGTTGGAATTTGGTAATCACATCTGGATCTCTGGCTGAATGATTCCCAGTTCATGACACGTAGGCCCTCCCCATGCTGGGACGCCAGCCCCTTAAGTCCAGGTATGTCCTCGAATAGCCCCAGTTCCCACATCCAGATATGACAATTTAAACAACTGTTGAAAACCACCTTGGCTGTTTGAACAGCAGCTGGGAATCCCCAGGGCTTGTGTGGAACCAGGGAAAATTCCCTTCCATGTCCCTGACCGGGGTTGTGGCGCTGTCAAAACAAAGTCAGCCTCCCACGTATCGACCCCAGCTTTTACACTTGAGCCATCCAGTACGTTTCAAATGCAGACCAACCCCACAATGCTTCCTCATAGTCAGGGCAGTACACATCCAAAGGCCACTCCTAGGGTGTGCAGAACGGCACTAACCCAGCCCCTGTGGACATCAACAGGTGCTCTGCCGATGGAAATGTCAGCAAAAAGCAGAGCCTTTTCTCCACAGACAGGGAGACAACAGAGGTTTTGGACCCAGTTCTTCCTTACAGTCCATCACCATGCACTGCTCTAGGGGGCAAAAGTTGGTGGAGAAAGCTCAGGGATCCCAAAGTGCAGAAGGTCTCTAAAGCCAGCTTACAGGAGCCTCGTGGCAGGTAGAGGACGTTCTGGAGGGAGGTGCATGGTCACAGCATGCTGTGTTCTGGCCCAGGAGAAAAACAGTGCAAGTTAGAGCAGCCCTGAGGCTGCTCTAACTTACACCAACTGCTTTGTAGGCATCTGGCTGCCTCACAACACAGGCAGTGTAAAGGTGGTTTCAAGCCTCCATTGATTCCCCCACAATTCTCCATTCCAACAATGAGATGGGGGGGGGACTCAGCAGGGAATCTAGAGGTCCCAGCATGCAGCCTCGCCTGCATCATACACTGGGATCCATAGTCCCCACAGGTCAGACCTCCACACTGAGATGAGGGCAGCCCACAGGCTATCTGTAGACCCCAGTGGACTGCGTTTGGCCTGGGGCCTACACTTGGTCTATCAGCACTTCCCACAAAGCTGTTTTCCTACGGCATTTGACAAGTGATGGAGAGCCAATAACGGCGACGCACAGGAAAACAGCTATTTCTGTGTAGCCCTCCAGCCAGCTTGAATTCAATAAAGCCACTAATTCTTTACAGTAATAGACTGAGCTTCAGTAACTTAATTCTATGTTCCTGTTTATTAACCCACAACACACCAATCACACCTCAAGAGGCTGTCACTTCAATATGCCAGTGACCTGTAAGGCCCCCATCAGCCCCTCTGTGGACCATACCCCACTCCCAATGCAGCAGCCTCACCTCTCTCAGAGAGCCCTTGATCATGGAGAGTTTATAGACAATCCAGAGAGGGATGCAGACCATAGATGAGAGGCCCAGCAGCCAGCCCAGGGTGTCTCCCCACCAGGGGTATACGTACTTCTTGTTGTAGGTCAGAGGGGTATATTTAATCAGAGAAAACAGGAAGGTCGCCTGGGGAGGTGGAAGAAGCCAAGAAGAGAGGAAGGGGGGAAGCAATGCCATTAGCCAACATGATCTCCCTTCTGACTTCACATCCGCAGCAGGACTTCCTTGGGACAGACAGCCCCCGAGGGGCAACAACACTTGGGTGCTGCTGCCCCTTCAATTAGTGTTTGTTATCTCAGCCAAGAGCTCATCCTAGCAGCAGTCCCTGGAGATCTGTTCCCTCCCCCAGTTATTCCATCCCCACTCACGGATGTCCATGGTGATCAGATAGACCACACAGCAGCAGCAAGGTTAGAACCTTTGGCTTCCAAACCACAGGCCACTTGAGCTAAAGTGGGAGTCTGTTCACTAGGGGTATGTCTACACGGCCAGCAGAAACCTGCTGCAGCGAGTCTCACAGCCTGGATCTACAGATTCAGGCCCATTCTAAAGCACTAGAAATAGTTGTGCAGACATTCAGGATCGGACTGGAGCTCAGGTTCTGAAGCAGAGCCTGAGCTCCACCCCAAATGTCTACACAGCTTTTTTTAGCGGCATAGCATGAGCCTGAATCTGCAGACCCCGGCCCTGAGACGTGCCACGGGTTTCTGGTGGCCATGTAGACAGGGCCGGCTCCAGCATTTCTGCTGCCCCAAGCAAAAAAAAAAAAGCCATGATCGCGATCAGCGGTGGCAATTGGAAAAAAAAAAAAAAGCCGCGATCAGCGGTGGCAGTTCAGCGGCAGGTCCTTCACTCCTAGAGAGAGTGAGGGACCTGCCACCCCCGAATTGCCGCAGGTGCCGCCCTCTCCCTTGGCTGCCCCAAGCACCTGCTTGTTAAGCTGGTGCCTGGAGCCGGCCCTACATGTAGACGTACCGTAGCTGTCAGTAGCAGTAGGGTTCTTACCTTCTATGGATATGCTGCTGGAGGACAACATGATGGCCACATTGAGCCAGTGAGCCATTACAACCTGGCCCGCTCCATGGGAAAGTGCTTACTACCTACTCAATATGTCCCCAACACAGGGGTCCCAGAGCGATCCATTTCCCCCACTCCCAAAAGAACCTAAACCAGCCCCACTCCTCTCTCAGGCCCCCAGACCAATGGCCTCCAAGCTCTCACCATGCAGACAGCTGGCGTGATGAAGAGCCAGCAGTATTTGATAATAGGCCATGGCCTGTAACCAATCATGTCTTCAATGTTATCATAGAAACGATCAGCACCTGAGAAAGACAGGGAGGGAGACCCTGTTAACAAAAGGGAACAAGAGTAATGGTCATGGCCCAGAGAGGATACTAACTGACAGGAAGACCCACGTGGACAGGAGTGAGCTCAGAAATGGGGCATTATGGGTAATACAGATAAGCACAAACAAGGGAAATTTGTTAGGGTCACGGACTTCCTTGCTGGCATGAGGCAGCTTCTCCAGCCAGCTCCCCCTGGGCTCTGCTGTCAGGAGGCTCCCAGCATCTAAGTCCCTGGGCACGGAAGTGAGGACACTTTGTGCTACTGTCTGTAAAGGGTTCCAATGTACCAGGTTTACAAATGGGATCTGTGGCCTGGTGCTCTCGGGGATAACAGAGAGACCAGCCCCAGTGAGGGGACGAGAGTCCACTCAGGGATTCGGAGTCAGTGAAAGCTGCTGGCCACCAGGCCCGTACTCACCATACACCCAGCCGATACAAAGCGTCTCAAAGATGGCAACAAAGAGCAGGCACATGCCGCTGGCAGCGTAGTAATCAAAGAGCTGGAAGATGTACATCCCACCCTGGGAGGGGGCAAGCAGGGAGAAGAGAGTGAGAAGAAATCTAACTAAGGGACAGGTCAAGCCGTTCAGTTGGAGAAAGAACCAACTCAAGTCTTTGGCACCTTCCTGCCCCACCCTCTCCTGATAGAGTCTGATGACAAGCTTTCCCCTTATAAGCCCAACCTGGCCAAGACCTGATCTGCACTGGGGACCTCTGTGGAAATCCTGTTTTCCCCAGATCCCATCCTTGCTCTGTCTGCAGCCTCTCATTTCCAGGAGAGGATAAGTCACTGTTCAGGAGTTTGGAGTTATTTTTAGGACAGTCTGAAAAAAAATAAGCTTGGTAGTGGGAAATGGAAAAAGAGACCCACAGGTCAATATCTCTAATGTTCAAAAATCAACTCAGACTCCAAATTTGCACCCAGATATAATGGAGTGCAATTTTGCAGGCACAAATCATTGGGGGCCCAAATTTTAGCTGGCTTAGTTGCCTAATTCTACAGGCGCTGCTACAACATGGGCCTGCAATTAATTCCAGGCACAAAATTGCAGGTGCAAAATCAGGGGCAGCTTTTCAAAAAATCAAGCCCAAAGAGAGACAGAAGGAGCCAGAGAGAGAGAGAAACCCACACACAGGTATCACCCACTCCCACCACTGCCGAAAGGGAACCTGGGCCCAATTCTGATCTCACACCACTTTTTATGCCAACAGAATTCTATTCACTTCCATGGGGCTAATCCCAGTTTACACAAATAGATGTGAGGTCAGAACCAGGCCCAGCAGCTTCCTGTACATATAGTGCTCATGAAGGTCCCATCAAGTAAGGAAGAAAGTGATAAAGATGCTCCAATAGCCTTCAGATGAGACAGGAATAGGGCTTGGTTTGCATGAAACTCTGAAAAGCCCTGACCTTCAAAACACTCTCTCAGAGGCCAGCACAGAGGAATGGTCCACGAGAGTTTAGGACAGGCAATGAAAGCTGCACTATCCAGTTGAAAGAATTTTTAGCGAGGCAGAATGTAAAACCCTGCACTGGAATTGGGCCACATCACTGCAGAGCAGCTCTTGTAAAATACACCCCAGAATCCTTACTGACCACTCGGGTCAGGACTCCCCTTTAAACCCCGCCCCAAAGCTGCCAACTCCAGCAGCACAGTGCCCACTAGTCCTGTGCTGAGATTCAGTACTGAAATAAGAGGGCAGAGCACCACCTAGTGAATCAGTAACACCACTGTTTGCAGCACCTGGGGTGTGCCTTAGAGGTCTCCCATCTGAGCACTGACCCAACACTGCTTATCTTAGGAGAGCACATAGACTACAGTCCCAGGTGGAATTGCTGCAGCTGGGCTCCTAATCCAGCCACAGGGTCTAAAGTCCTCTTTCTGCCCAGATGGATTTCAGTCAGATGTGACCAGAGCACCCCACAGACTGTGAGCTACAGGAGGGATGGAGGGAGGGATTCCTGTCTCTGAGTCTACCTCTGTGAGCATGACCAGTCCTACAAGGTAGGAGAGGATGGAGACAAGCAAGATGAGGATCTCACGGCGGTTTTGCTTCCGGAAGATGGTGGGGTACATGTCCATAACAGCTGTCACCAGGCTCTCCACACAGACGAACTAGGAAGAAGAGAATTCACACACCTGTCAGCACGCTCCTACTATGCCAGCTGGCTGGGCTTCATTGCTCCACGGCCTCTTGCTCTCAGGACAGGTTTCCCTCAGCCAGGAGAGACCGCACACATTCAACATTGGGAGCTAGCCCCAGCCATGCCATGGCTGTCCTAGGAACTTCCATTCGCATCCATGCCTCTATCACTTACTAAGGGCATGCTGCTGGAAACCAGTGCCAGGCCATTTCCCAATCCCCCACTAGGCGGGCTGCTGAAATCAGCTCACAGCCTTCCTTCCATCATCCAACAGCCAGGCTCTAAAATCCATACCAGTGCCATGCTGAGCATTCCCACTAGGGGGTGCTACTGAAACCACAGCCCTGACTCCAGAAGGTATTGCTGGAAACCAGCATCATGGTTTCACAGGACATCTGCTCAGCCCCCTTCCCACACAACACCACAGAATGGGCTGCAGCTCTTCCCTATGCTGCATGGAAAGAGGAGGCTCGCAGTGAGCATGACATTATTATTATCATAGCGCACAGACGCTCCAACTGAGATTGGGGCCCCATCGTACCAAGCACTAGACAAACACATAGTGGGACAGCTTCTGCGCCAGAGAGTTTATGCTTTAGATAGAGCGAACAGGCAACTGAGGTGAAGTTACTGGCCCAAGGTCACACAGCAGGTCAGTAGCAGAGCTGGGAATAGAACCCAGGTCGCCTGAATCCCCGTCAAGTGCCCTGTCCACTGGGCCCATCCGTGTGTCTGAGACCATACTAGATTAAGTGAGAGCTAACGGGGGCGCTCTACTCTGTCTGGACAGGGGAATGTGCTTTGCTACCTCAGAACTTGTAGCCAGGTCTTTCCCTCACCACCTGGCCATTTATCAAGTGGAATGTGTTGGCTGTCAGTTTGAAGGGAAGCTGGCCAGACAAGAAGGAAGCACTCGTGTCCTGTCTGTGCATCTTTACCTGGCTGTCCAGTCCCAGCAGAACAACCATCAGGAAGAAGCAGCAGGCCCAGAGTGGGGAGAAAGGCAGCATGACGACAGCTCGAGGGTATGCGATAAATGCCAGGCCAGGCCCTGTGAGAAGAGGGTCATTTATAGTAGATGGTAGAGACCAAATCTAGAAGCCATCAGCTGCACCGTCGCCTTGCCAGGCAGTGAGGAAGAGGTCACCAAAGCAGAATCAGGGAGATTAGCAGCTCAGAACTGGTCTATGGCACCCACCCACCTGCAAAACACACCCCACCTTCCCCAATGAATTCACTCCTGGCACTAGGAAGCACCATTCAAGAAACAGTGCCTCCATTGCTGGGTGAGGAAGATCAGAGGAACCAGAGCAGGCTACGGCTCTACTGCCAGGAGTGAGGGCAGACGAGCCACAGCAGGCTGTGGGCTCCACCTCCATGGCTGGGGCTGGGAGCTGATGGACTCCTAATGTCCATGCAGGGCAAACAGGAACTCAGATCTTAATGTTTCATGCCAAAGATCCACACGCCATAACCACTTTGGGACTCAGTTTATTTATCTCAGAAGAGCTGAGTTGACCCTTCTGGGATTTGAACCTGGGGTTGCAATTAATCTCGTTTCATTGTGATTCATTGTGCCTCTTAGGGGGTCAGCAGCTTTGGGACACCCCTCAGTCACTGTTCTCTGCTCTGCTCTCTTTACAGGAGCTCTTTTGTCCGAGACAATGCAGAAAAGGAGTCCAGGGTCAATGTCAGGTGACCAGAGATTGTCCCACATTAGCAATGGCCCACCCTACCCTGCACACTGCTCTTCCTGCACACCGAGCCTACTCACCTGACTCAGCTACCTCAGATATAGGCACGCCTTGTTCCTGCGCCATAAAGCCCAAGATGGAAAAGATTGCAAAGCCAGCCACAAAACTTGTACCACTGTTCAAAAAACACAGCGCAATGCAGTCCCTGGAAGGAGAAAAGACAAGCATCAGCATGGGGGAACCAGCCAGCCAAGCAGAAAAGAACATCAGCATGGGCTGGAAGGGGAGAAGCCAATCAAAAAGAAGCATCAGCAAGGCACAGCAGCCAATGAGATGAAAGCGCCCACATAGAGACACGCACATATGTCTATATTAATCATTTCTATGCAGATGTTTGAGCAGATGTCTTGACAGTGTGCAGCTGTGGATTCATCTGGGGATAAATATAGGACATGTGCATCTTCACATAATAACACTGATGCTGCTTCTTCATCCCACATACTGACAGCCTCATAATGTCACAAAGCCTAAAATAAATTCAGAACTCTTTATTTATTAACATCAACCTGTCTCTCTCTAGATCAGGTACAGTTGGCCCTCCATTACCACGGTGTCGGTGTCCCTAACGATCTTTATTTATCCTCAACACCCTTATGAGGTGGGTATTCTGTCCATTTTTGGGACCAGGTCTCCCAGGTCCCAAACTAGAACCCTAACCACCAGGCCATCCTACTTCTTATAGCAATTGCCATACAGAATCAGACCTGTGACCCATCTAATCCAGTATCTTCGCTATGACCATGGCCAGTACTGGATGTGCCAGAAGGTGCAAAAAACTGCAGAGAGTGTAAATTATAGGATGACCTGCCCAAAAGGGAAGTTTCTTCCCACCACAACCTGATCAATTAGTGGTTGTCTGATAGGATACAAACTCTTATGTTTCAGCTTATCTAATGTACCTGTGGATAGTCTCATTGCTTATATAAATGCCTGATTCTTTTTTGAACCCTAGTCAACTTCTGTCCCCAAGAATATCTTGCAGCAGTGAGTTCCACATGTTACTCGCATTAGGGTTTTTGCAATTTTGTTGTATCAATTTTAAATTCATTGCCTTTCAGTGCCACTGGCTGTCCCCTAGTTATGAAACATGATAAACAGAAGCACCCAATTCACTTTCTCTAAACTATTCATTTTGTATACCTCTATCATGTCTTCTTTTATTCACCAAATCTTTAAACTAAACAATCCCAATCTTTTCAGTCCCTCGTCATACTCAAGTCTCCCCATGCCTCTAGTCATTCTCACTGTCTCTGAACCGCTATGTTTCTGTTCTGTCTTTTAGAGATGAAGAGATCAGAAATGAACACTACATTCCAGGAAAGGCCATACCATTGATTTCTATTAATTTATGGCATTTAATATATTCAGTATTATTATCTATATCCTTTCTTTATATAATTTGTAGCCAAGAATTCAAGACATTAAGTATATTTAGGATATAGAGGTGAAATGTAAGTACTAGTTAACGTTGTAACACAGGGCCTACAGGCGTGTAAGATATTCATTTTAGTGACACAAGGCCTTAGTCCTAAAACAGGTTGGCATAACTCGTTGACTGAAAGATAAAAGTGTATCAGCAAAGTGTATGATTACAGTAAAAAATGTGTTAAGTGCTGATGGTCTGGAAACTATGCATCAATAGATTGAAAAATAGGTTGCAATGAGCCAGTTAACACTGCAAGATGCCGAACAGTGACATTTTGCAGGATTCTCTAATAACCTTAAGTTGCTATAGTAACTCATTAACAAAGATGTTAATGAGAATAAAGGGAACTAAGGAAATAGCCTATAGAAAATTGGGCATCTCTAAATTAGTGGGATGTGGAAATATGAAAAAGGGATTGAATTGCTGGAGGACTGAGGAGCACAAGCGTTATCAGACACCAGGAGGAAGGTCCTGTGGTGAGAATAAGGAAGGTGTTTGGAGGAGGCCATGGGGAAGTAGCCCAGGGAGTTGTAGCTGTCATGCAGCTGTTACAGGAGGCACTATAGACAGCTGCAGTCCACAGGACCCTGGGCAGGAACCCGGAGTAGAGTGCGGGCCCAGGTTCCCCCCAAACCTCCCAATTGACCTGGACTGTGGGTTCTCCCAGAGGGGAAGGTCTCTGGGCTGTTCCCCAACCCACATGGTGAATCTCTGAGGCAAGAAAATCCGCCAATAAGCGCAGGACCCACCAAGATAGAGGAGGAACTTTGTCACACTGGTGTAAGGAGTGGGATCTTGGGGTGCACAGCGCGGCGGAAGAAGGAGGGTGATTTAAACAAAAAACAAAAAAAGGGGAGAGGGTTTATTTTTTTTCACCACAATGGATGATGTAGTGCGGGCACTGATACAAGCTACGGCGGCCCAGCAGGAGGCTACCCGTGTCCAGGCAGCTGCCCAACAGGAGGCAGTGCGGCTGCAGCAAGAGACTAATTGCCTGCTGATGGACCAGGCTGCTCAAGACCGAGCTATGTTGCGGGAACTGGTAAACCAGGTAAAGTCCCTTACAAAGCTGAATCGCAGCCATGATGGGACACGGCTCATACAGGCCAGCCATTGGCTGCAGAAAATGACACGGGAGGATGATGTAGAGGCATACCTTCTGGCCTTTGAGAGGACAGCCCTACGGGAGGCCTGGCCTCAAGATCAGTGGTCTGGCATCCTTGCCCCATTCCTGTGTGAGGAGGCCCAGAAGGCCTACACATGATCTGCCTGAAGAGGCTGCGGCAGACTACCGCCAGCTGAAAGCAGAGATCCTGGCCAGATCTGGGGTAACGACAGCAGTGCGGGCCCAGCAGTATCACGGTTGGAGGTACCAGGAAGACAAAACCCCGCGGTCCCAATTGTATGACCTCATCCATCTCACATGAAAGTGGTTGCAAACAGATTCCCGGAGTCCGGAAGACATACTAGCGGTTCTGGTGGTTGACCGATACATGAGGGGACTACCACCAGACCTTCGTGCCTGGGTAAGCCAGAACGAACCCTCCACCTATGATGAGGTTGTCACCCTGGTAGAGAGGCGAAGGACAGCGAGGGAGCTGACCCGACCAGTTAAGGAAGAGGCACCCCGGGTTAAACTAGCAGCACCAAGCCCTAAAGTTCGGGTAACTGGGCCACCAGGAGGGCCCAGGTGGAAAAAGAGAGAGGCTGAAGGCCCATCAGAGGCCACAAAGAGTCAGAGCACTGAGGGAGAAGAGGATCGTGACGTTAGATGCCCAAACCAAAAGACCGGGGAACGCCTAGGGCTCCATACAGATGTTATGCCTGCGGGGAGTGGGGACACATAGCTGCACAGTGTCCCAATGCTGAGGAGCCTATGCATTGTAACCTGGGGAACTGGGCAGATCCATGCTCCCTAATCCACCTTGTGGGGGTCTCACTAACTCCACATATGTATACCAGACCAGTGAAACTAAATGGGGTAGGGACCACGGCACTGGTTGATTCGGGAAGTGCTATCACGCTTATCTCAGGGAAGCTCATGAAGCGTAGTCAGCTGCTGCAAGCTAAACGTACGGGGATAACATGTGTTCATGGGACAGTTAGTTACTACCCCACCATCCCAGTAAAAATCGAGATCCAAGGGAACACTACTGAGGTAGCAGCAGATGTAGTCCCTAAACTCCCATACCCGGTGCTCATAGGGAGGGACTTCCCAGGGTTTGGAAACTTACTCCCAGTAGGGGGATTGGAGAAAGATGGGGACCCTTAAATTGATGAGGCATCCACAGCAGACTGTCAACCCCCAATCTTCTCTGAAATATCCCCAGATTTGTTCTCCACTCCCAGACAGGGTAGAAAGACAAAAAGGGAAAGAAGGGCAGCTAAGGCCTTGGGAACCCGAATACTGACCCAAAGCCAGAGGGTCGTTCTTGTAGGTAGGTGGACCCGCACAGCTGAAAAGGAGGCCACGCAGGAGGGAGAAGCACCTGAGTCTGACCCCCACCCTAATGCTTCTGAACCAGTAGAGGCAACAGAGACTGGGCCCCTAGATCTTGGGCAGATTAGCTCTGGGAGTGG